CATATATATATGTGTGTGTGTGTGTGTGTGTGTGTGTGTGTGTGTGTGTGTGTGTGTGTGTGTGTGTGTGTGTGTGTGTGTGTGTGTGTGTGTATAGTTCTTATTACAGTAGTAACAATCATAAATGTATAATATCATGTAATTATAATTAAAAATACTAAAAATTTTTCTTAGTGCAAGTGCTATAATGTGAACTCTCTCTTTATTGCGTGCATCAAATACTAAATGCACGACAACTGTCCGTATCGCATATCAACTTCGTTCATGCACAATGAGAAAATCAGTTCGTGCAGGCGATTCTCGATCCAATGATTCAGGGATGCTCAAAAGATTTTCGAAAACTTAAGGACATAATTGCCCAAACAAAAGAAAGCGCAAAAATTAAAACTCGTAATTGGTTTAAAGAGAAAACTCAAATTTATCCATAAATTGAATTCCAGAATTCAATTTTCGACTACCTAAGAATTCGGCGATGAAACATTTACGAATCTGATTATATTTATAACATAATAGATTCTTTTAAAAAAAGAGAGAAGTGAAAGTTCATTTCGCGAAAACCGCCCGAGAACGATCGAGGGATATGCAAAAAAGGAGGAGTTTTGCAATATCGTAAGAAGATTAATGAACATTAATATATACATTGTTTATTAACTTCTAGTTCATCGCTGACAATGCAACTATAGACATTATCAAAAGTCCATCAGATACGATACTGAGACCGTGTGTGATTTTTCTCGTTTCTCCCGTTTATATATTCGTTTGCAGTCGCGTAATGAGAATTACAACTTAATTAGTAAAAGTTAGAATTACATGAACTAGAAAAACTTCATCATCAAAATGCCTTTAAAAGTAACTTGAAACCGAACAATAATTAATAATAATAATAATCTTATAATATATTAAAAATTTATAATATTAATAATAATAATGACAATAGCAATGATATAACAATTAAATAATAATCGTAATATATCAGAAAACTCTGAAAAATAATATTATTTTATCGTACATCCCTATTCAACTTCTTATTATTTATCTGCCGCAAACACAGTATAGGCAAGAAGAGAATTATCTCATACCACATATAATTAATACCGCATATACATTCCTGCATACATACACATATAGCGTTCTAGTGCGCTTAACGATAGTTGTTTAATGTTAATTTCAATCGGCAGTATACAGCGTGCGCTGTACTTGTACCGAAAGGGATTAGCCCTTAGATCCCTCGATCATTAAATGCTCAGATCATTAGATTCTCACGGATCCTTGAATTAGATACTCTTAGAAAACTTGAAGTATTCTTTGCTTTAAGTAATTCGGCTTCTTCAAGTCCTCAAGCATCCTCAGCTTCGCATAGACTCTCAGTTCATACATCTTCGGCAGATAAACTCTGAAGTGTCTTAAGAAGTGTCGCGACCACAGCTAATAAGAAAAATATTAATAAGAAACTGCTGGAGATTAAAGATGTCCAATAACATTCGAGGATTCTGTATTTACTCGAATATCGAATGTACCAAAAGCACAGAAGTCTGAAAGGTTTAGTAATTAATCTATTAAATCCGTGGACCAAATATCCGTGAACGATGGAAGCATAGTCCAGAATAATTAAAAGTATCAATTCAATTCCATCGTAAAAGTATCAATTCAATGATCCAGGGATGAAAGAATCTCGCACTCAAGAACTAAGCATCTAAAAAAATCTACGTTACAAAAATTAAATCCTTATTTATATACCGGATTTATAGAGTGTGTGCTTATAGAAAAGCCTTATAAGGAGATAGTAATATTTAGAGGCCTTATATAAACAAAAGACAAAAAGATTTCTAAAACTTTAGAATCAGAGAGGCATGATGATAACAATGTGATAAAAAAAATAGCAAATCATAATCATTGTGAATATATCTAATTAATTTATTCATTAATGTAAACGATAAAAAAATAATGGTAAGAAGCTCGCATATAACCCAAAATCTAATTCGAAGATCAAGGATAACGTTAAAAAAAATCTCGACAAAAACATCTTCGTATCGGTATTCTCGTTCTTGAAGAACGACCGAAAAAGATTGCAATTTCAGAAATTTAGAAAATCTGCGTAGGAACTCGAATCTCCATATTTCTTAGATTCTTGGCTCTCGTACAATTTTTCATGATAAAATATACACATTTAAAATAAAAAGTAGCGAGAATGCAGGCAGAGAAGATCTAAGAATAACTCAAATATTAACAGTTAGTAAACGTTCTCTTTTACTCAAGATTAACTACGGCAATAGAAAGAAAGCTTCAACTTTATACTTTTTATTTTTTTGATGAGAAAAAAGGTAAGATCTTTCGGATAACAAATCGATTGAAGGCATGCGATCGATCGCGCTCGACTACGTCGGAGCGGGAAGGATCACGTGCTGGAAGGAAACACGTGTCCATCGTTACACAACATAATGCAGCCAAGAATGAAGGCATATATTAAGATACCCTGTTACGTAGGTCCTTTACATAAAGTTCTAAGTATAATTGATGCCGTATCCTTGGATCCTTAGATTCTTGCACCGTCGATGAATTCATACGAATGAAACTAAAAATCTCTGAGAAATCTAAGGATCCATGGATGAGAAATCCAAAGATACATTGAGCAATTCAACGGAAGAATCTGAAAGAGAGAATCCAATGCGGAATTGGAGAATCTGACAATACAACGGTCCCACCGATCCAAGGATATAACAGTCTAATATAACACAGGCGTCCAGGAACCTCCGTTTACAGAGAGCTGAATCTCTTGTTTGAACAGAATTTACTGTATGATCTCCTCACTCGCGTTTGCTTTCTATGCGTCAAGTATATAATTAGTATAATCAGCGATTAGGTACAAATGTAAATATTTAAGATTCTGTACACATATCCTTCTCGCAGAAAATGTAAAGTAGTAAAACTATCATAATCATTTACAGGACTAAAAGCATCGAAAGATTCCTCTTTCAATTATACAAGCGAAAAGAAATTGTTCGTTCAAACGGAACATTATAACTCAACCTTACTCTTTGAGTTTATTAGATATTTTAAACTACGCAATTTTATAATGATCTAAATCGCGAATGAACATACTTATCTACAAAAAAAGAAAAAAAAAAGAAAAAAAAAGAAAAAAAAGAAACATAATTTTCAAACACAAGGATTTGACAACACGGCAATACAATTCACTGGTTTTTCAATGCAAAACCTAGTTAATCACATAAACATTTTTCAAGAAAAAAACCATTATAAACGGAAGAAAATAAACAAAAATAAATCAGCTCAAAAAGGGATAAAATTAAACTGAATTATACGAGTAAAATTAAAATAAAACGGTCCTATAAAAAGGTTAACGATTCAAGGACCAAGCACTTTTTACTCTCTTTCTCCCTCTCTCTTTGCACAGCAGCGCGCATAAATATATATGTACATGTATGTATGTGTATTGGGAGAGCGGAAAGTTTCGTCGCGTACTTTAGAACAAGACAGCTATTTGTCGTTTTTATTATAATCGACTAAATAACGACTTTGTTTAAAAAAAAGAAGAAAAAAATTCAAGGAAGTTCCTCGACTTTTTATGCGCATATGTATCGAACGAGCAAAGATTGCAACGTCATTGAAGAATCTATAAAAAAAAAAATAAAAAAAGATTCGTATGACCAAAGTATTTCCACACTTTACGACGAACATTATGTCGTCGGATAAAAATGTTATATTTAAAAATCCATTGGAGGACCTATTCTTTTCCTTTTTTCCCTAAAAATTATAACACATCTTCAACGCAGATTGATAAATAGTTCATTATTCTATCTCATGCTAAAACACAAGTCAATTCACGAATCAACGCAACTCTCCGCAACTGCCCGAAACACCATTACACCGAGAGCGAGCGTATAATTAAAAATCCCACTCACTTATCAGGAGATGACGGGGGAGTGAGCGCGACGGTGCTGAGCGCGGCAGCGTCGGCCGGCGACGTATTCTCGTTGTTGACCGTCGGCGGATTAAGAATATGTGTTGCATTCGCAGAATTCGTCGATGTGACAGCGTTTCCCTGTGCCTCTATTCCGATACTCGCTCCAGGACTAGCAGATCTACTGGCGGTGTTCGCCGCTGCTGGCGCAGGCGCTGTGGGTTGCTGCTGTTGCTGTAGTTGAGGCGACTGATTACCACTTTCTTTGTCCTTGACAACGGCCTTGAGTTTGGCAGTACCCTTGACAACATCGGACAATCGATTTTGCGATGAAGATTCCATGCCGACAGCGCTGACGTTGCCACCGGTACCTACGTCAATCGACACTTTGCCGTGGTCAGGGTCGAGGCCAGGCAGGGGTGGAAAAGCGGCTGCCTCAAGGTCGAACTGCACACCGCTGCTGCGGCTGCCACCACAGTTGCTGTTGCTGCCGTTGCCTCCGTTCGCTGGCAAGGATTCCTTAATCGCCGGCAGCGAGTGGTTGTTCCCGGTGGCTACCTTCGTATCCTGATCTTTGGTCCTACGATGGATACGGTGGCGGGTAAACGAAGGCGTTGAGGATGAGGATGTGGAGGAAGGCTCGACCGCCACTGTTGTGTCCTGATCCTGCGCGGAGGACAACGAGGAGGAAGCTCCTTTTGCGTGTTCGATAGACGATACGGCGGACGACGAAGAATGGAACTTTGTGCCGGACTGGTAGGAAGAAGAGGACAAAGAAGCAGGCGGCTTCGAAGGAGGCAAACTCGAGGTGTGGTAAGTGGACGTAGAGGAGCTCAAGGACACGCTATTGTTGCCGCCAACGCCGGTCATAGGAGGATGAGAGCTACGATTACTCAGTGGCGGCATAGACGATGGCTGATGATGGTGGTGGTGGTGATGGTGATGATGGTGATGATGGTTATTACTATTGTTACTGGGATTGGCCGGGTCTATTAAGCAGCTTCGATCGGAACCATTTCTCTGTCGATTTCTATATACATATAAAAAAAAAATATTTTCAGACACTGAGATATTCATTTAAAAAATATATCTAGAAAAATAATAAAATTGCAGATTCGTACCTATGTCGAGGAGTGAATCTCGTATTTGAACGCGTGAACGTGTTGTGCGGCGTGATTCCGTTCATCGTAAAGACATTAGACATCTCGAAATAAGCGGGACTAGTTGGTCCCCAAGGCATCATACCGGCCGGATAGAACGGTTGCTAAAAGAAAAAGACAACATTTTTATATGAACTTCTTTCTACGTAGTGTACAATCAAGATTTGCTTTGATTAAAATAGGATATTTCTCATATATAACTTATTGTTCTTTGATGATAAAAAAACTTGAAGAAAACTTGAATTTTCGCGTAAAGCATTTGTAACTTATATACTTACATAAACGACTTGGTTCGCGTATGCCGGCATTGTTGTCTGAGGCATGGTTGTACCATTGGTATAGAGAAAACGTTGCTGTCCAGTTGTGTAACTGCTAGGATCATAGACAGGAGGAGGAGGTGGAGTTCTGTAGCCATTCTTTATACCACTTACACCGGCTACCGTCGGTATCGGTAACCTGTTCATTGGTTTAGCTTTGATTCTCGCCATTATTGGCTTTCCCTGGATTTAAAAATCAGAATAAAAATTTACAACTATTATATATAACTATATAGCGATAAATAACTAATAATTATAATGGGATAACTATAATAGATAAGTATAATAAAATATAGCTACAAATACGGAGAATGATTAAAATTATTGGTAATTTACTTCACAGCCAGTTATTCAGACGAAATTATACAGGTTTTGTTGCAACTTACCTGAAATTCTCGAACCTCTTCGCGTAAAAACCGGTAGGCCTTTTGAGCATCCTCGTCGGATTCGAATGTCACGTACCACGAACTATTGTGAGCAAACTCGCATGAAATAATTCTCGGGCAGCCCTCCCCAGAAAATAAATTCTACAGTAAATAAATTCAAATGTTAAAGAGTCAGATTTGAATTCTTGTAACAATAATAGAATAGAATAGTTGGGATTTTTAGATGTCAACAAACCTTGACATCTTCTAGCGGAGTGCTATCTGGTATCTCACGAAGTATTACGATACATCGTTTATGATTGGGCCTTACTTTTTGTCCCTCTTCGTCAACTTGAACATTGGGAGACTCTTTCAGTACCTCTGTTATGAGTTTAATATCTTTCGTCAATTTTTTCACTTGGTTAAAATTTGCTACTGTCCATATCGGCACATACTGATCATTATCCATTTGTGACAACAAATAGGTATCGTTGGCTAAATTCTCTCTGAAAAGACAAACAGATATTGTTCATTCACATTATCATATCTTGTCACATACATTTTTATATGTACATATGATTATGCAATTTGCATGTCAATTAGTCTATTTTATGACGAAGAATTGTACAAGTGAAAAGCATTGTATCATTGTATTTTGGGACAGAAATAATTTAGAAATTTTTGTATTCAAAATAGTTCATACAAATCATACATAATAATAAAGTATAATATAAAAAAAAATTAAATTTCTTTTATTATTAGGTATTAATTGGGTACTAATTGGTATATAGTTTTAGGATCTTCAAGTTTTGTAAAAAAATTGTTACAAATCATTTTTTTAATTTCTGGTTTAAAACCATACTTTTCATTTGTGATGTTACTCTCACACACATCATGATTAGCTTTATTCAGTAATAACTATTTCATTAACCATCGTAAAAAAATTGGCTCAAGACTTCGACTCAATTTTTGGTCAGGAATAGTGCTATATAATTGTTATTTGCAATATTTAAAAAACATTCTACATATATTCACACACAAAACATTATGCACGATAACATTATGCACGCACACACACGCGCAAATGCGCGCATGTACGATAAAGACAGTAACATGCTTAACAGAAAATTTTTGAGATTATTTTGATAAAAGTCCTAATACTAAAATGTCGTTATAATAATTTTATAATATAATAAATATTAATTTTATCTTTGCATACATAATCTTTATATCATAACGGACAAGAGGCGACAATTATAATAGCTTTCACTTCTAGCACTTTACATATCACACCTGATATACAAATTTTTAGCGGTATGATATGACTACTTTAAATGGTTATAAATTCAAAAACTATTGTAGCCTCATCATTTTGATATTAGAATTTTCGTTTTCCCTTCAGATCTGATTTTATTAGAAAAAATTTTTGATTCAATTCAAGAGCATTTTAATAAGTAATTTATACCAAACTTTTTTCAAAATTTTGACTATTTTTCCAACATATACATTATTATGTACATTTGATTACAGACAATGATCAATAGAATTAAACAATTTCAAAGGATGATGTCTACAATAAACGATGTACAAATTAGACATACATTACAGAAGAGATTAAAATGATCTAACAAATTTATCCTTGCACGTTGTTATGGTCTTTACAGAACATGTATGTATATAAAATTATTTTAAAATTAGTAAAGTTTTATCGAATTCCTTCCTTACTTTCTACTTAATTAAAAATTTAGCTTTCAAACGTTTTATAATAAATGTATTATAATATAACTAATATACTATAATAGTTTTCATGATTGTCTATGATGATTAGCTGCTTAATCATAATAAATCTAATACATGATACATATCAAATGTCGGTTAGGAAATAGTTAAGGGAATTAAGAAAAGAAAATCAATATAAATTCGAGTGACGTGTGGCTCCATGCGAGAACGATCAATTCATATTCAATAGGTCCTAGGTTCAAATCCATTTCTTATTCTTTATTTATATTGTTGTTTATAACCAGGTTAATTGAAGATTGAAGGTTGCGAGTGAAAAAGTTTGTGGTGAGATTGTAACCAGTGTTTTGAGAACAAACTAAATACATATTTATGTATATAATACATGCATACATATGTGTGTGTGTGTGTGTGTGTGTGTGTGTGTGTGTGTGTGTGTGTGTGTGCGCGCGCGCGCGTGTGTGTGATCTAATGTATATAATGCAGATGTATTTGAAAAATGACTGCAATTTCATGCAATGTAAAATGGAAGATTTCGGAATAATAAGAGTTATGCAAAATGGAAGATTTCAGAATAATAAGAGCTATTACCTGGAGAAATAGTATTCGAGTTGTGTAGAGAGCATTTGTTTAAGCGTCTCCAACGGTATGCCCGGAACATTTAAATCTGTCATTGGTACAGATGGAGGAGCGGCAGAAGCGTCGCCCAATGCGGCAACATCCACCGGGCTATATCCGACAGCACCACCGTGCATGCTTATAGCGTGTTGAGGCGATGGTTCCAGACTGCCGACACCAGCATCAAGAATCAATTCACTACCGCTCGGCGCACCGTTCATGACTCCGTAGTCTATATTAGGCACACCACCACCACCAATTGCGCCTGCAACCTGTGGACCCAGAGGTTCAGGGGTGGCTGGGTAGACCGCCCCTGGTGGCAGCTTCCCGATGTCCCCATTCATGTAAACGTATCCTGCAAAAGGAAAATTTGTAATTCACTTGTAATTTCCCTTTATCTTCTCTCATGTTCTTTCATATTTATGTATGTTATAATTCAAAATGTTGCTCTAATAACCTAGGCAATGCAATCAGATATCTTGTAAAATGATAATTCAGCTCAAATAAAATTTTTTGCCACATATTTAAAAAGTAGTATAATATATAAAATATTTTAAACCCCAATTAAAGAGAAAGGTATTTTCTAGATATACATATCTATAATTCTAACCTAATACGATATAAGTTACACGTTTCACAGTTATTGCATTAAATATAGCTCTTTGCAGTAATAGGTCTAGTTATTACATCACATATGACTTTTTTACATGTATATTTATACAGTTTAAACAATTAGTTTGAGAAATACTCAATTATAATTCTACTTATATCAATATAGATCAACTTTAATTTTCATTTAACTTATCTTTTTCTAATTCTAAGAAAAAAGTGAAGAGTAAGTTAAACTGTGATTAAGTTATCTACAAATGTGAGATATATTAGATCTCTCTCTATTCCAAAAGTCGTGCTTTTAGACTAGAAGAAAATATCATTCTATAGAATACTTTGGTTATTATTAAAAGCAACTTGACTTATTTTTATACTATATATATATATATATATATATATATATATATGTATCATAATCATGTAATAATTATTTGGTCAAAGACCAAAGATGCTTTATGCAACACTGACAGCCCTTATCCTTGTAAACTATCATGACAACGACAACAGTAAAACGGAGCAACTAGGAGGATCATTCGATTCGAATCATGCCTCGATACGCAACACTATACGATGGATTACCGCAACTGCAAGCCCACAAATACGAAGTACAAAACAGTTACGAACAATGTCACGCGTACAACTTTTCACCAAGTACAATCTGGGAGCCGCCGGGAAAAACGAAAGACATAAGGAAGAATTTTTTCACGCGCGCGCGCGACCAAAGTCGACGATGTGCTTGACACCAAGATACGCTCTTCGGGCGGCAATGCTCGCACACGCTAGAACGAGCCTCCGGCATCGGACTACGTGCCACGACGACGGCCGTCCGGAGGAACTCGCGGCGCGCCAGGCGAGGATCTCCGCGCGAAAGGACGCGCAATATGTTGCGGAGCGCACGGCGCGTTATCGGCCAAATATAGCGCGCGATCGTCGATACGATACGGTGGCGGTCACGGTGGCGTCACGACGGCGACGACGACGACGAGCTGCTCTCTGACCGACCGGACACGATTACGATTACGACTACGACCACGACCACGACCACGACCACGACCACGATCACGACCACGACATGATGACGACGACGATGACGATGACGATGACGACGACAATGACGACGACATTGACGACGTCGACAAGGATGAGCACAAGGACAACGTACACGGACACGATGATGAGGACGATGATGACGACGTCAACGTGGATGAGAAGATGAAAGACGAAGACAGTGGCGATAACGACGTGTCGACGTACGGCGCGAGTTTAGCAAGCAACATAAGGAGATGATGACGATGGCGAGAAGGTGGATGAAGCAGCACGATGACAAGACTGTACAACACTCTTCCTGAACTCAACGAACATGTGTTAACACTGACGATGACGATGACGATGACGATGACGATGATGATAATGACGGCGACGACAATGACGATGACGACAACGACATTGATGATAATGGTGAAGATGATGAAGATGGTGACAAAGATGATGAACATGAAGATGATGAAGATTATGATGACGATAATAATGATGATGATAATGATGATAATGATGATAATCGGATGGTGATTGAATGGTTTTTGTATGATTTTTTTGATGAATGAGACGGATGGTCGTTACCGAAATCACCGTTCATCTCGAGATGGGCCTGGATGATCCCATGTGCCCTGAATCTAGCGTTACGAAGTGCCTTGCCCGTTCGTTCGCTCGCTCGCCCGTCCGCTCGCTCACTCGCGCTCTCTTTCTCTCTCTTTCTTTCTCTCTCTCTCTCTCTCGAACGGCCTCGTGCAGATCGGTTTCTCGGCTATAGAGAGAGCACTCTCGAAGCACTTTGGATTTGGAGGATTCGTTGTGCGCGCGGAGTACCTCGTGTGCGCGTTTTCGCGAATTTCGTTCGCGCTGCCTTGATAATCGACAATGGGCTGACTAGAACGGAGAGCTCGAACCGATCACTCGCCCGCTCGCTCGCTCGCTTGCTCGCACGCACGCATGCATGCACGCACGCACGCACACGCTCGCGTGTGCGCGACGAAATGCGCGACGCAGCAACACGACACGGCTGGCGAGACAGGCGGCGGCGAGATTCGACACGTTCCTGACGCGAATTCGCGACGGCGCGCAACGCGCGCGTGACGATCCGCCCTGTACGTATCACGGCCCACCGCACCGAGCGGATCAACGCGCGGCCGTTACGCACGACGATGTTTCCTTACCGAGGTGGAAGAATCGAACTCAACACAGTCTCTCGAGCAAACTACAAAATGGCGGAAAGGCACATGCCGTGGCGCGCAATGCATTCTGGGGCCCGGTGGACGGTGGTGCGCCGCGCGGCCCCGCCGCCGCCACCACGCCGTTATATGTCTCGCGCCGACACCAGAGGGCGCGACTGGCGCAAAACTCCCAACCCCGCCATTTTCAAATCCTCGTGTTTCTTCCAAACGTCTTCCTATTTTGGATTTGTTAAATCCAAAGCCCATTCTACAATATCCTCTTTGTTTCCTGTTTCTTGTTTTTTATCTTTTGCTTTTTTCCCTTTTGCAACCGTTTTATCAACAATTGTATTTTTTGCTACGTATTTCTTGTTTCTTTCAAAGTTCGTTAATTTTTATCTCGGGCGATATAAAACAAAAAATCGAATTAGAAGCAAAAAGACAAGGTATAAAAAAATAACAAAAGGCAAGAAACAAGAAACAAAAAGCACATTGGAAAGCAGATTTAAACACATTGAAAAACACAAGGGATAACCTAAAAAAAAATTCAATCTATCAAAAACCATGTCTATAGTAGAATATACGAGTTCTGATAAGTTGAAATCCGTCAGAGGCTACGTACAAAGGAATAGATAAGAAGATACAAGAATTTCAACTTATCAGAAACTGTGTATTCCACGGTACATGATTTCTGGTAGGTTGAAATTCTTATTTTCTGTTCCCTAGTCTTTTGTGCGTACGCAGCTTTTTATTCTCTGTTTCTATTGTTTGTATTTTTCAATTTTGCAAAACTTTAGCGAAACAAGAAAAAGAATTCCCTGACTCTTTCCAATTTTTGGGAAAGTTCCCTGATTCAGGCCAAAAAAAAGAAACTTTAAATAAGAACAAAGATAAAATTATTAATTACAATAAAAAGAAATGAACAGAAAATAATATAAAATAAAATTTTTATATTTTTTAAAATAATAATTGAAAAATTTGAATTATTATTTTATACTTTATTAGAAGGAGAACATTTGCCTATAATTCATCTATTTATTTAATATTTTTAAGCCTATCAGATATAATTTTTTGTTTCTTCATTCTTAATACCTTTATTTCATCAAGTAGTCTTTTTTTATCTATATTTAAGTTTGTGTTTTTTTTGTCCATATTTAATCTTTTTTGGAGATTAGCGATCATATAACTTTATCCCCAAGATGGAAACGTAAAAATTTTTTCGATATTGGATTAGATTTAAAAAAAAAATAAAGTAACACTAAAAATATTTATCTTTACTATCACATTTTCTTCAAGATATCTAAACAAAAAGAGAAAATCGATTGAAATTATAGCGCTTGACATAAAATTGATACTTGAATTTTTGAACAGAAAAAAAACAGAAAGTACTAAAAATGTTTGTCTTGTTATCGTCTTTTCGAGAAGACTGAAAAAGAAAATCTATCAAAACGATGGTGCTTAATAAAAATTCGATATTTGAATTTTTTATGAAAAATATGTATTAAAGATCTGTGATCTGTTTTGTCATATTCTCCTCTTTTGAAGAATTTAAAAAAGAAAATAATCGAATCTATCGAATCATTGAAAAATTCAATTGAATTTAAGTCAAAAAGAAAGAAAAGCTGTCAAGAGGTGATCTTATCATATTTTCTTCGAGAAATTTCATAACAAATTAATTGATCGAGACGATAATTAATGAAAAAATGTTCAAATTTTCGAAACGAAAAAAAACGAGAAATATTAAAAATATTTATCTTATCCTATCTTGTTCACTTCTTTATTTGTTCTCCTCCCGTTCGATATTTTTTTTTATGATTACTCTGTAAATTTAGCGCGAATGAAAATAGAAACGCTATTCTAATCTTTGAACCGAGGAAAAATGAGTAGAGAAAAGTATGTTATCTCCATTATCTCTTGAAAAGGAATCCCATCTCGAATTTCTAATAAAGGTGACAAGAAAAGAATTTCAATTTTTCTATATCCTTTCTCCATGTTCTTTTTTTTTAATTAAAATAAAAAAATTTCTTTTAATTCTCAATCTATTTTCACTAAAAACGCAAATAGGCGTTTTTTTTATGAACAGACGCACACATTATATTTAGTTTTTCTAACAATTTCAACATTTCAACTATTCGCTATCATTTTTTACATTTTTCATAGATCGTGAAACTTGTAATATATATATATTCTTTGAATAGCAAAATACTTGGACAGATACAAGAAAAAATACTTTCGTATGTACTCTCTCTCTAGCACTTTATATATTTATTGTGTCTATCCTGTTAATACCAAGAAACAGATTCTACGAAATAGCGAGTATAACATAAACGTAATCGATAAACAACGATAGCTTATCTGATGATTTTTTTATAAACCACATCGTGTATTTAATTCGTACACTCGCTATCACATGGCGATAGATATCAATTTCCACCACTTTTATTTCTTTTTATTTTCTCTTCTACTTTATCGTTTTCCTCATACTTTATCACATGATATACAAACATTATAAAAGTGTTATATAAATTAATAAAGTAGGAACACATCTATATAACTTCTGTTACATTGAATAAGCAAGAAAATAAATATATTCCTAAAATATCTCATTTTTTCATACAGTTGAATTTAATAGCAATGTCAATTTTTAGAGCTGGGATAGTGAAAAGGAAAAGGGACAAGATGGTCATGTTATATTTCATTCATGTACGCATTATTTATTTATCTAGAACAGCCACATTTTATTAACTCTCATTATTATTATTATTTCAAAACAATTCGTCATTTAATTACTGCCTTAAAAGGGAATGGAAAGCAAGAGCGAAGATATGATACGGGGCGAAGGAGGAGTGTCCTTTATGCGAAAGGAAGAATCAAAATCGGCCCTACAAATATTCAACAAATCATCACAAAAGGACACAAGAGCGGAAAGCACTCTCTCTCTCTTTCTCTCTTTCTCTCTCAATTTTCAATTACAAACATAAAAAAAATTAAAAAAAAATTAAAAAAAATAGAAGAAAAATCTTATATCGTTCCTACGAAGAATCGCAGAGAAGAATGTGATGGATGCGAGGAGAGGAAGAGAGCCCGAGTCAATCAACCTACAGTTTTACTGCCTTCTCGAAACACGTCTATCGCGCCCAGATACATACTACCTAATGCAAGAACGAACATCCATCCGGCGCTGCTAATTACCGCTCGTTCATCTATGCTTCTCCTCCTCCCGTTTCTCTTCCACGATGTTTATCAAAATCAGATGTGTACTATCCACTGCTGCAAGATAGGGGAATCCCTACCTCAACAGTCGCTATCACCTAACATAAGGCTTACAGTGTGACGTATTGCTTTTTATCTCAAGAAAAGATTCTGATTAGAATAGATATATTGCCTATAGGTATACGCTGGTTATATGCCTATATATCTTCCCTTTCTTTCGCTATATCTCTTCCTCCTTTCTTTTATTCGCTTTTTATTCCTCTATTGTTTATTTCCTTCTCTATTTCGTTTTCTTACTTCCTCTTTTTATTATTGAAATATATATGCGCGCGCGCGCGTGTGTGTGTGTGTGTGTATGTATATATATATATATATACATATATGTATGTATATACATATATATATGTATTTATAATGTTGACGTGATAGTATAATCGGGATATCCCACGAGAAGTTAGTGAATGATATACAGATTCAATTTGAGATGATCATGTAGAGCTGACGAGGGATGGAGCTGTCTGCTGTTGTTGTGGGTTGTGGCATGGATGGTAATTGTTGCTGTTGTTGTTAATTGATTAAAAACCATGGACTTTGAGCTGGTCAGGTTTTGCCAGACCCGACTTTGTCAGCCACTGGCATATATTCTCTCGTTGGTCCCCCTGCAGCTGCAGCACCTCCCCGTACTCCGGGTGCTCTATTACTGTCCCATTGCAGGCAAACTCCTGTGAAAATAGAAAAGCAATGATAAATCAAGCAGGCATTCTTCGGAGGGACTTTTATCATTTAGACAATTCAATTCCACAGAATGTTGGGTTCTTTTATCTCTCCCAAAGGAATGTATTCAAACCTTTGCAGATACCGTTATCAAAATGAGATACGAATAGTCACAGCTTTTCCATTATAGTTCTAATGACTTATAAGAAATTGTAAATATTAAAATGTAACATAACAAATTTTTTTAAATAATTATATTAAAAAATCAACATTAATAAGTTGATATGACAAAGAGTATATTCATACTTTAGCAATACACTCATAATACTCGTAAGCATCATATATTCTTGTTTAATATTTGATAGACAACAAGAACAAAATAATGTTTACAGAGTATAAAGTAAATGCATCCAAAAAATTATTGTAAATGTATATAATCATTTCTAATAAGATACACAAATTTTATTTAAAAAACACTAGAAAAGACACTGTCTCTTCCCATTGACTAATTTTGCTACAATTTATAAAAATTTGATTTCTGTTGACATAATGACAAGATGGAGCAATTATTCTGGAGTTATTTATTGCTCTGTGAAAATAATCTTTAATGTATAAAAGATGTTTTTTTCTTATTATTTTACTCAACAACAAATAGCATTGAATTAAGAACAATATTAGATATTAGGTGTAGTAAAAAGAAATCCATTATTTTTCCAATAGATGGCTTTAGTAATCTGTATCTCGTCTACGCGTGATACAGATTACTAAAGCCATCTATTGGAAAAATAATGGATTTCTTTTTACTACACCTAATATTTTTAATATCGAATATTAACGATTAATTTAAATGAATACACAAAGCGATTACAAAAAAGAGCCAAGTCATTGATGATGATCAATATTCTCAAATTGAAACAAAGACCATCCCCCTCTATATGTCAAACCACTTGTAGATGCACTGGCATGCCACACATTCCTAGAAGAACTTACAAAACTACATCTGTCCAGCCAGTATCATCGTGATTGTTTGCATCAGACCTATTTTTAGAGTTCT